AGAGAAGATCTAATTTTGTACTGTTTTTATAACGAAACTTAATAAATAAATTTTTTTAGAAATTAAAGAAGTTTGCTAAGTTTGGATCACGTGTATGTCATCCAATGATCGAACTTGCCGGACTATAATCTTCTTAATTATTTATATTCAGTTTTGTATTGAGAGAAGAGCGCTCAAATTGTTCTAATAGTTTAATTAATATAATTGAAGTGAAAATATTGTTTTTTTTTTTTTTTTTTTTTTTTGTTATTTGCAAATATCGTGCGTTTCTTATTAACAATTTGATGCTAAATAGAATTATATTTCAATAAAATGTATTCGATGTTGCTTTAAGTAAATAAATTAAATATATTTCTGGACGAAAACAAAAGAGAGAGGCCGGTAAGCGTAATGCATATAGAGTTTGTTTTACGTTTCTATATGAAAAGGATTATGAATTTTTTTTTATTTTTTATTTTTTTTTATATACATTACTGAAGGATGAGGGTTAAACTCATTTTGTCAAAACGCCCAGAGAGAAGCATTAGAGAGACGTCACAAAGTATATATATTTTTTGATCAGCGTCAAATTCGAAGTCAATTTAAGCGTGTCCATCTGTCCGTCTGTATGAAGTCTGTTATAAAAGTTATCGACTTCAAATTTAGCAAAAACATTGGAAGTCTTTGGACGCAGGTTGATAATGAGAATGGGCCAAATCGTTCGAAGGGCACGGCCACTGAGAACATCTCCATTTTTCAAATAAATAAAAAATTATTCTTTAAAAGATTGATTGATCGATCGATCCTAAGTGATTTTACGAGATGCAATCATCCGCACAATCTTAATATAACTTACCGTTACTACCATTGACAATAAATGGAATTTTTAATAAACTCTATGATGATATTGATGTCGAATGGCATAAGCAGACATTGTACATAGACGTAGAAACTAATAAATACTGGATGTAAAGTAAGGAAAGTGATTGTCTTATGGTAGATTAAAATAACTGACAGTACTTGCCGGTACCTTTTGATTAGTGTATATTAAAACATATGAAACTATAGGATAGGCATAATAATAACGCAAAGACAAAGAACTCTTACATATTGATTCATATTAATGTTCCTTGGCAAGACGCATTACGGTGTTGTTGACGCCTGAAGTTGGAGGGATCTACTGATACTAACAGTATGTTAGCTCTCTACCTGTATGTAATATATGTGCAAAATTATTATTTAAGGTTTCTTTTAAAATACATTATATGGGTAAATATAGAGGGTGTTAATGATAATCCGGTTTAGTCGACCTCCAACGCTTCAACAATATATGAAAAATTAAAGTTTAAATAAAAATTGTGCAACACGAACGATTTTACGCAATTTAATGCCATAAGTGATAATTGAAATGCTAATAATCGATCATGAATTTTTCAATTTCTATAAAAAAAAATTATTTTTGCTATTGAAACGTTCTCCTCTCTTCTTCTCATCTATCTACTAGCATACAGTAAGCAATTATTTATCCGTTTCTTCAGTTTACAACGTAAATACATCTGCGGATGAATGGATAATGGATAAGAGTGCAAACATTGAATATAATGGTTATCGTAAAAGGCAAACAATTCACTTATTAGGTATGGCTTAATTGCCTATCTAATTATTAATTGCACTCTATTTACATTTGCGGCAACTAGGCACAATAGTATAAATTAATATTTTTTAGATGGGAACTTTTCAATTATCATCGATTGAGAAGTGAAATAAAATGTGATTACAATTTTTTTTGCATTTTTCTTTTCTCTTCTTAACAGAAGGAGCCTTTATTAAAATTTACTTTGTTTCATTTTTACGTTTGCAGAACAAAACTTGGTAGCAAAAAATATTCTTTCCTAAAAATTCTCCGGCATATATTAATTATTTAGCTAATTGATACGTTGCCATCGCCATTAATCTACTGTTTTGACATACGCATACTATCTGATCTATTTCATTGCAATTTCCATCTCAAAGAAAACTTCAAGCATTACTTTTGAAAAAAGTCGCTTAGAAATATCCTATATATCTTACGCTACAGTTTTGCAATTGGCTTCATCATAATATAGGGAAATTTGAAATTTGCTGCAATAAGAAGTGGTAGAAAAACAATAGCATCCCATTCAAGTATTCTATATTTATGTAGTAAGGCGGTTAAACATTGCCACCCTACACCAATTGTAGTAGAAGGATATATTAAGTTTGTGCAGATGTATGTAACATCCAGAAGAATTTGAGATTATTATTACCGACCTATTCAGTATCACTTTCTGAATCGGTCTAAGCTTGTCTGTCCATCCATTCGTTCGTCTTGTTCTCTTATGTTCGTTCAGTCCACAGGCCGATGCTGCTGAGATATTTTGATGAAATTTGGTTCGGTTTGGCCTAAAGATGAATGCAATTGAAAATGTTTCGCATCGGAGCACTTTTTCGAACACCCGTAGGCTGTTGGGACGTGGCCTACTACAATGCTTTTACTCGTTTCAACATTTTTTTTCCAAGATTATTAAAAATTTGAATTTCCATTTCATACAAAAGCTATGCATTTTTAAATGTAGCGTTATATGGGCCAGGGGTCATGAAACTGATCTAATTCACTCTACGTGTACAAAATATATGGCAGTTTGTCTATATTTGATAAAAAATAATTAGACAGATGAACACACAAATATACCAGCAGATATGTTTAAATAGGTTTAGAAAGTGACATTGACCGTATTGGTCTAATCATAGATCAGTCTATCTGAGATTCTCGCAGGTGTTATGTGCGTACGACAAATCTATCATACTATCATAATAAATGTAGGGATAATAATAATGGATAGACTAATTAGTTGTCATTAAAAGAACACTCTACACATTAAAATTTATTTTCGTTAATATTCCTCTTGTATGTTGAGTCGTCCGCCCTGCTGAGGCTGCGATTAACTTATCCCAATAAAACTCTACAAATTAATGTTGCGAACGCCCCGCAATTCCTGGCGAGCAATGACTAATTACAAAATATGGTTTATGAACTTGCATCAAAGACAAACTATATATAAATAAAATTTTCTTTTTTTTTCTTTCTTTATTTTTTCATATATATATATTTGCTGTCTGCTTTATAATAATAAGCAAATGCGCCAATAAATAATTAAGAATAACTCTTAAGTTTCAATTTCAATTTCTCTCCCCATATAAAACGTAGGAGCGGACAAGAACAGACGTGAATAAGTCTTATATCCATTGAAAATATATACACGCGGTCCTCGTCTAATAGCAGCAGTCGTAGCGCGTTTTATTGGAATTATGTAATATGAAACCTCTTCTATTTATTTATTTAAACTAATACATACAACATATACAATAATGTAATTAAACTCTGATAGATAGTACAATATAAATCGAGGCAATGTGTACCGTGTGACTGTAATCGTAAACAAGACTAAAAAAAAAAAAAAAAAAAGAAAAAAGGAAAAGGACTACATTTTCATATTCTATAATATTTCGTGGGCGATTGATTTCTCCTATTTTTATTGAATCAAACTCAAAATTCATATAATGTGTGTGTGTGTGTGTGTGTGTGTGTGTGTGTGTGTTTATGTGTGTGTCTATTCTAGTTTATGAATAATGAGAAAGAAATATGCAAAGCAAAGGTGCTCTCAGTTTTTGTTTCGTCCGCTTTACGGTCCTATTCAAGTTAGTTTGAAGGCGATTTCTTCATTTTTGCAAGCGAGAGAACGTTTACTACAGATCGACATAGTTGGGCAGGCAGACAGATGGACGACGAACAGATGGGTATGCTTACATGCGTTCTTCCGCAACTTGTTTATGCGCATTATAACCGTATTGGAAATAGATTTAAATCCTGATGCATTACACTATTGGACAATGGTCAGGCGTGCAGGTATTAGAGCATTACCCATAGAACATACGTTCATATTTTGATAGGTTTATGTGTTTATGAATAATGAGTAAGACACCAATTTTTTATAACTTTTGAAAAGCAAAGGTGTTTTCAATTTACGCAGTACTCCTTTACGTAGTCTACTTCGACCAATTTGCCCCATTCTCAATACCAATCACCGTACAAGGATTCTAAATGTTTCTGCCAAATTTGAAGTCGATTGCTTCATTTTTGCGACTAGGAAAATATGTACGTATAGACACAGACGGACATGCTTAAATCGATTCAAAATTTAATGCTAATTAAGAATCTACCTAATTTGCGGGATCACTGAAACTTCCTTCTGGGCGCTACAAACGTTTTGACAATGTGAAAAAAATCGCATCCAATATCATGAATATCACGATAAACAACATTCGCATCAAATTAAGCACAAACTTTATATCTCCATCTCCATCTCGATCTCTATCTCTATTTTTCTCGCTCTATCTGTTTTGGTCTGAATGTAAAACTTGAAAATTTTTTGTCCATGAAATACCGAAAGACTAGTAGCCATTAAGCCGGACAATTTTATACGCGAACCCCAAGAAAAAAAAAAAAAAAAAAAAAAAAAAAAAACTCAAACTGACTGACTGGCTAACCTAATGTTTCATTTCATTGCCAATTGTAAAATTTTAATGGCCTTCGATTTTCGCATACCTTATACGAATATCTTTTATCTATTGCTTTTCGAATGTATTAATAGTTAATAGACAACTACATAATGTATACAGAGTGGATCAATTAAATTGGAAAAATAATATAGTCCATGCTTTCTCTCTTCTTCTTTATTTTATTTAATGGCCATTATTTTGAATTTGCTTTAACATTATGCTTTAAATCAATTCTAAGTGTGCTTGAATGTGAACATGAATCTTTTTTTATTCAGTTCGTCTGTACGATAATCCATTTCGTTGTGCGATTTTACAAAAATCTTTCTCCTACCGGTAAAGTATGCATATTAAAATTTTATAAAATCGTTTTGTCAAATTTATGACTGCAGTCATACGTATATATATATTATACATATATACGTATATATATATATTTTAGCAATATTTTTACATATTGTGAAAATGAAAAATATATTTTATGTGTAAAGAAAATATCTTTTTAAATTATGCCGACATTTAGCCAATAATTTGAATTATTACGTGTACCTATCAGAGCTAGGAGAGTATGTGAAAATGTATATTAGTTTTGTGCTATTTCGTTAATGGGCTATTGATGAAAATTTCATTGAATATATATGATCTTAAAATATCTGAGATCCGATTTAGCCGCCCAGCTTCGCCCAGCAGCGCCCAGTGCTTCATCTACCGATGTATCGGAGACCTTGCGCTACAATATATCATACGTGAAAAGGGATTAGCATGCAAAAGCCATAATGAAATTGTGTGTTAATAACTTGCTTGTAAAAAGTTAATATAAACCAAAGATTTCATCGACAGTCGATAAAATAAGGCGACAAAATAGGATATTGCGGAATTCCCATTTTTTAGAGCATCATATGTAATACAGAACTATCCTCATCATATCATCATCCTACTGCAACTACGTGCAGCTTATTTTGGTTTTAACCGTCGTAGGACTGTTCGTGCGCCAAGATATAAAACTTCTCCCACATCCCAAAAAGCAGCTACCTCAGCTAAGACATGCACGCATAACTCATACGCCTTCATTCCTCTTATAGCGGCACTGCGAACATGCCCTAAAATGGATTTAGATGGCAGCCTTATACACAAAAGGATATGGACAGACTTACTACTACATTGGTTAAATAAAATTGGTATGAGGGTGTCGTTACATAAAACGAAGTCCAATAGAGACACAGAGAGGCCGGGTTACACAAAGAAGGGCTCACAAACATGGCGCCACAACACCAACGTAGCGAAACATACTATTTTTTTTCACGGTCTTCCATGGACATCGTGGGCCGAATGAGATCGTAGGCAGGACGGGTATTGAAAGGCTCAGAGGCACAATCGATGCCCGTGCGGTAGGTTAGGTTACGTCTATCAGTGTGTTTGTTAAAGGATAAGTACGTGCTGTTATTTCAGTTGTAACAGTCAGAAGGAATGTCAGTGAGCCAATTATATAGAATCCCTCCCACATTTCACGAACTAGCCAGTCTATTACACGCCTCGAATCTTTCTAAAGTGGCATTTCCAAGTTGACCTAAAATTTATTGTAGTTAATAGTTTTCGATACAGAGGCAGGACAGACAGGCATGAACAGTATCCGTTACATAAAAGTGGCAGATTATTATTAATCGTGCATATGAGACCAGTATAGAGAAAAACTGTGAAAATGTTTGGATTTGGAAAATGGATCTGTAACAGAATACACGCACAAGCGAAAATATTGGTGCTGTTAGTGAATGTGTCGAAGAAGATCCAAATTTATTCATTACATGGCGCGTGCAGTACGCGGCATATATTGTATTTGGATTAGCATCCGCCCTACTAAAAATCACAACCTAACGATACTAGCATAATCTTAGTGAGATTTGGATAAATAAAAAAGTACTTTACGTAATAATACTATTACGACCATTACATAAAGGTGTAAGTTAATATTTTCATGTCAAGTATTGTTAAATGAAAGAAGTCAAATTTTATTTGAGGGCAGAAAATAGCTGACGTTGAAAGGAAAGATCAATCAGGGCAGACGTGCGTCGTTGGCGACAAGACAAAAAACCGAGCCTAGTAAAAGATAAAGGTATGAAGGTTAACAAGTTTTTTTTTTAAATAGTCAAGTGTCCATTTTTAATGCTTTTCTTAGAAAACCGATTGGCCAAGAATTTTTCATGCGGAGTAATTAACATCGTTTAAAGTTCAGGTAAGTATGGAAATAATTTTTTTTGCTTGGAGCCAACTTTCAATATCTATCTACATTCTTAAGTGTATATACGGAAATAATTGAAACATTTGTTTAAGCGCCACGGTGTGAGTTGATCAATCGAGGCCAATTTTACTTTAATGTTTTTTCGCGGACAGATGGTAAGTTATTGATAGTCGTATTATGAATTTATTGTTTTGTTTTTTTTTTGTTTTTTTTATTTTAGTGGCTATAAAAATTTGAACAGCATGGGCAGTGTTTTTCGTTGATAGCAAACTAAATTGCTGCCTATGGCTCATGTATAGGTGAATACAGCTAATAGGTTTATCTGCACTTTTTCGTCTTCTTCTTATATGTGGAAAATTTCCTTGATTGTTGATTCAATTAAAAATAATATGTGCTCACGACGGGCGATACTTATGCAGACTGTTTCATTGTGTTGTGTATGCTAAAGAAAAACTACACATTCAGCAACTTTGAAGAACATGCTGCTGTCTTACCTATTTACATGCTCGTTCATAAAATTACTATTTGAAGGACTTGGATTGCAACAATAAATTCTTGTTAACATGAGTATAAAAAACCAAAAAAAAAAAAAAAACAAGGAAACCTTAGAAAGATTAATTAAATTTTAAGTCTTTAACCGTTCATGTCTGAATGTAATGAGCATAATTTTTGTAAACGAAAAAATCTGGACTCTGAAAATGAAGTGCACTCCCATTTAATTACTGAGCAGTCGAAAAAGCCATTTAAGGTCTTTTTAGGCATTATTTTTTTTTTTTTTTTTTTTGTCTTAAAACAACAATTAAATCAGTGACATTCATTCGACCATTCTTTCGTCATCTCACTGCCTCTTGTATCATTGTCTTTTATGGGAAAATGTCTTCTTTTTTGTTTTTCTTTTTTGGTGGAAAGATTTTCAAAGTATTAAATTACAGAAATTACATGTTATCTTAAGCGAGACACTTTGTTAAATGCGCAAGAAGTGGAGCACTTGAGAAATATGACAAATGTGACGAGTGATTTTCATTTAATTTCGCAAGTTACAGATGTTCCAGATGCTTCAATCAGTTAATCAGTCAATGAAAATGTGCATGTAAAGATGAAAAAGCGCTATAACGGCCTAAAGAAAATTTTTTTTTTCTTAACATTTTTTGTAGGATGAAAGAGAAGAGGATGGACAAATAATGGGCGAGGAAGTCATTATTCTTACTATCATTATCATAATTAATTTAGTCAGAGAAATAAATTCCAAGACTAAAGTAAACAAGTACGTTCAAGTAGACAACGCTGACGGTTAAATACTCTACACTACTTCGCCTAATGCATTTATTCACCTATTTTGATAATAGTACGCCTAAAATGACATAATATTTTCAAGCAAAAAGGAAGAAATCCTTATAAGCGATCGTATCTAAAAAGTAGACCTACGTGGTCCAAATTTAATAGGTATGATTTCTATTCTAATTTACCATTTTGAACTAATTTTCACCATCATCTATTAAAAATTGTACCCTTTTTCACAATATAAAGATTTAGTTTTATAGGTAGGAGTGGTTATATGGGGGATGATTCAAAAAATTGCTCCATACAAACAGAAATTCTCGCATCAATTCCGAATGTTCAAATATGTATATAGAGTCAATTTTTTAATGAGAAATTTTGAAAATTGCCATTTTTTTTTTTTTTTTTTTTCGTATAAAGACTTTTCGAAATAAGGCGACGAGTTTTCGAAATAAGGCGTTATATGAAAAGTATTCGAAAAAATGGACTGATCTAAATGATTTTCAATAGCGTTCGTTCTGGGATCAAAGCGTGTCAGTATACTACATTTTTTCAAAATATCTTAAAAATTTGCGACCTGTGTTTTGAATATAAGTTCACATGGATGGACATTGATTTTTGTATAATCGGCGTATTATAATTTACATGTTGCGGAATGGTACAGAAAATGAATTCACGATTAAAATTAAAATTTTCATAACAAAGTTTGGGATCTTTTGGCAGAAGCTACACTAAAGCATCTCAAGACAAGAGAAATAAATGCTCAGCAGGGATATAGGATAATAAAGTGAAAACCAGAGACCAGAATCTATAAGTACACCCTTGACAATTATATAAAATAGTCTACCATTCCAAGTTAACAACCAATCTTAAACAATTCTATCCTATAGGCACTGAAGAATGAAATTTTCACGTACACACAACTCTTACTTCACTCTGATTAGCAACAACAAAGAACGATGCGGCCTCATGCGATAATATTCAACCAGGAAGTCCTGTATCAATAAAGTAGCTAAGGCAACGAAATAGTCCAAGAAACCGCATTTATACCGTAGCGCCTTCTTAACACCACCGTCTGTCATTATCAAATTTGTCCGCTCGTTGATCTTACATCCATCAATTAGAAAAATGGAAATATTTTTGCGGAAGATGATGGTATCGGATGTCATCAGAAAATATCGCCGCGCACCGTCTTTTCATATCAATTAAATCCAGATAATATAATTGGCAATGGTACCAAACAGAATGCTACGAATGTTATGCTCTTGTTGTTATGCATGTTTAAGTTACTCTGGAAGCTGAAAGTAAGTTGTTTTCATACTTCATAAGTACGTCTTCGTAATTGTTAGGGTAAATTTTATGGTTATATGCAATTATGTTATATGTAAGTATGTATCGATAATTTTTCTTGCTTAAAACGAATGTTGCCTTAAGTCCTTGCAAAAATATTGCAATTTTCGTTATATTAGTTAAACTAAAAGGCATTGATCTGCTTAACGAATATAAATGATATTATTTGATCCAAAAAGATAAAAATTATATAGTAATACAAGTTGGACGATATGTTATATCGAAAGCTTGTGACCTTTACGAGGGCCAGAACCCTTATTCAGTTTAGTCTTACGACTACTTTAAGTATTCCAGAGTTATTTTTGATATACTAGTTCGTAGCATAAAATGGATTAGATGTAGTACAAGCTGGGCAATTATAGGCAATAGTTGTAGTAATTATAGTAGAGCACCACAGGCAGATGTCTGTCAATGCTTTGATTACGAAAACGACGAGACCAAATCTTCTTATAAAGTACAACACAGAGACCATGTAAATTTTCACTTTTCTTCTGAAAATAGAAAAAATTAGCCACGCCCAATCAATATTATAGAGTATGAAAATGTAGTTCTTCTTCTTCTTCTCAGGATCAAGGTGATATATAAAAATGGTATAAAAGATTCGGTCATGACTGAACATAATTTACTTTTTTGTTTTGTTTTTTTTTTTTTTTTTTTTTTTTTTTTTTTTTTTTTTTTTTTTTTTTGCATTTCTTTTATCTAACATATCATGAACTTTAAGCAACTATTGATCCTGTGAGTAAATTATGTAAAATTTTCTTTAGATAATATATATATATATAAATGTTATTAAGGAAACTTTGAGAATATTCTCATATTATACCTGACGATAATTAAATAAACTGCAATGTAAAAACACTCACATAAACTCATACTCGAAGGAATATACCTGAGCTAGAAAAACACATGTGAATTAAAACTTTTTCTTATCTGAAAGAAATCATCGGAGGAGATATTTCGAGTAGAAGATTTAAATGCCTCACTAACTGATAACACATTCGGTTGCTTGCTTATGCACTTTAGTTAACATGATACACCTAAGGTAAAAGTTGTAAAGCATACGCCCACAAGCTCATGTAGTTTTTCTTTTTTTCTCTATCTTACTAATGAGTATGAGTGCGAATGTGAACTAAGCTTTTTTGACGCCATTGAATGGAATGGAGAAAAAAGGCCAAGGTTATATATATATATATATATATATATATATATACAAATATATAAAAAAAAGAGGAAAAAGAAGAAGAAGAAGAAGAATTAGAACATACATAAACACCCAGAGATAGCAAAAGAAATGATATGGAAGCGTGCGTATCTGTACATATATGTATATGCATACATATACATACATACTTGTATATTTAAATGTATAAGTGTATAAGTGTGTTTATGTATATAAGTATATATCAGGTGTGCCGGCATTGGGGTTTCGTGTAAATAATTATACGAATAAATATAATTTCTTTTACTTAGTTATTTTTTATCTACACATTCGCCTATAACTGAAAACATGCTTAGACACGTTGACGGTGACGTTAAGGTGTCTAATTCGATACCGTTTAAAAATGGCTTATTAATAATTTTAATAAAAACATATAAATCCCTTCAATTCACTATGTAAATCAGAAAATGAAAACGCGAGATTATCATAATAGCCTTGATCAGCATGAGATTTCACGATGATTACGAAATGCTAAGCGAAATAACTAAAATCTTTGAGCGAAATTTCTAATTTTGCATATATTTATTTATTTCTTTCGTAATTTGTGTAATAAGAAGCAATCATTTACGGTAGACAAAGTAGTTTAGTAGTTTACTACTTATTTATATTGCAACCTAAAAATGAAAAAAAAAGTGACAGTACTATCAGTACTATGATTATACTCCACACCGCTTGTCGTACAAAGATATATTAAGGGTATATATAATGATGTATGTAAAACTCTAAACAACTTGAGATAGACCCACTTTTTATTAAACTGATCGATTTAACATTATTTTCTGAATCGTTCTAGATTTGTCTGTCCGTCTCCTCGACTTATCTGCAAGCCCACAGGCCGTAATTTTTGATATATTTTGATGAAATTTTCAACACTGACCTGATTTCACCCAAGGACGACTCCAATTGAAAATGGTGCATGGGTTCTTTGATGGCCACACATGTAAATGGAAACAAAAAACTAATATCTTCCTTGCACTTTTTTCCTCTATTGTCGATATAGCAACAAATAATCTACGATGTAACGACGTGAAGTAGAATAACGTGGCTTTTAATTATTTTACCATAAAAATTCGAACTAATTGAGTTTTCTCGTATTCGCATAAATGAAGTTTTACAGATTTAAGGCGTCCCAGTGCATAAATTAAAACTAATATGACAAACGATTACAATTCCATCCCGTTAGTAATGCATTCGAAATAATAAAAAAATCATAAGCGCATCATATTTGCATTAATGTATTCAAAATAGTCGTAAATCGTTACAAATGACTTTGACCTTTTCCATCAATGTTTTGCACTTGAAATATAATAGTAATAATAATAATAATAATCATAATAATAATAATAATAATAATAATAGTAATAGTAGTATGAAAAAAAGAACACACTTTGCTCCATAATGAGGAAATGAAAAAAACTATTGTAAAGAAATTCTCTACAAAGTTTACGATTAAGGTGACCATCAGCATCATACGTTTGCCGTTTCTTCGTCTCGTCAATTTT